CATGCAAATTTTTACATTTATTTGAATTTATGGAATTTTCAGTGCTTTCTTTGGATTTGCCAAATTTGTTTAACTGCATTACATACATATGTTTATTGCATGTGTGAATATGTGCGAGTTTGAAAGTGAATGCGTATGTATATGTACTTGTGTTACTAAGTAAGTAAATAGAAGTTACAAAGAAAAAAATTTGCATTTTCAGTTGGTTGCACACTTATGCACTTATGTACGCAAATATGAGTATCCATAATCCTTCGCATGTCCTTGAAATGCATCGCAATCTCACTGACAGAAGCTATCAATGACAGAGTAACAGAGCAACAAAGTGTCACAGATCATCTCTCCGCTTCTAAGTTAGTTCGTTTGAGCGATACAATGAATGATTGATGGGTGGTTGGATGACTGATTTTTTTTTGTTTTTTTTTTTTTGTCAGTTGTTCAGTTGATCCAGCACTGGCCAACAGCACCGAGACCAGCACGATACATACCTCATAAAACAGCCATGCACTAAATATCACTTGCACTGCATTGTAGAATACCAGTGTGTTTTGTAAGCGGAATGGTTTACGATTCTCCATTAATCGTGGCCCCAGCACCTGCATAAAGAGATAAGCAAAAACGTAGAATACTTAATAAAAATTACTTCATTTTTGAGCACTAAAATTAGTTTGATAACGTACGAGATAACAGAAGATTGTAATCGGAAATTGAAAATGTAATAAAATTTTCAGCAGGTAATAAAAAGGAGAAAATTATATATGTACACTTGCGATCAGATAATTAACGCAACGTTTTGATAAAGTTTGGATATTTTTCTTTTGTTTATTATTTTTTCAACAAAGTTTAGTTTATTATACAACAAAAACCATGTAAAAATCTCGTTAAATTTTGGGAATTTTTTAACGCTATTTTTTCCATACGAAGCATATTCAACAAGTTTTTTTTTGTATAGAAAAAATGCTTCAGAAAACATTCAGAAAAAAAAAAATATTAAAACTTAAAATTTGCGCCTTATTATACTAGAATTTATTGGGTTATTAAACTGCATACTCAAAATTCAGAAAAATTTGGATAGAAAGTTGAAAATTTTGCTGAAACTTTGCAGAGAAAACATTTACTTGGGCAGTATTAAGGAAGCCCGTTCAAACTTTTTTATGGAAAAAAATTTGGGAATATCTTTTACTTTGATACATCTAAGTAAGAACGTAAGTAGCATATGAATTTCTAATTGAAGCAATAACCACCAAAGTCAAGATGCCGTAACAATGACCTATGGAGCCATCAAAATGACTGTGAAATCTCAGGGTCTTCTAACTCATATACATATATCATCATCATCTCATCTAACCTTCCTACCTTTGAGTCGAAAACACAGAAAAATTGTTGGGGTCAACCGTCATTTTTGGTAAACAGTTTGCTCGCCATTTTTCCTTAGAATTAATCGTAGAATTTGAATTTGCTTTACACTTTTTTCGAAATTAAACTACTCCGCCCTACTGCAAATAATTAAAATTAATCGAATTAGTCCGATTCCTTCATACAAATAAAGTTGCTTCAAGTTTGACACCAATGAACTCTATGATGTCGTGACCCGTTTGTGGAAGCACGCATAGCTGGGTGTTCGTCTCAGCGGGGAGAAGGTTTATATCTACGCTAGAACATGAAAAGGGTTGCCATCTGATAAAGCAATAAATTTAATGAGATTTGAAAATTCTGTTTGACAATATTTGAAAGAGGGTTTGAAAAGTTATATGAAATACCAAAATATGAGTAACAAGCAAAAGGGTAGTAAAAGATCTTTGGTCTGGACACTTACAACAAAGTTAAATTATGATTTTTTAATTAGTTAAATAAATTATTACAATATGTGCATCAAGCGAAATCGGTTTTATAACGCTTCATTTCTAAACTATATGTAAGACGGTTGCCCACTGCTTAAAAAGTCAAATTCAACTTCAGTTAAAGGAATTAGGTAATTTAAATGGGTGCCACACGAAAGAGAGTTAAGGAGGTTGCACTTTGAAAATATTTTGAAGAGGGATTAAGATGTGAGTGCCAAACGAAAGCTTAGGAAGAAATTTTTAGTTTGAACAATTAGAATATTTGTGCGGTGCTTCAAGATGGTTGCCATCTGATTTTGAAAAGGCTCACTTCTAAACTGTAAATGTAGGAGCATTGCCATTTGTTTTAAAAGTCAAATTTAGCTTGAATTAAGATACTTATTAAATTGAATGTATCACAATATGGGTGCCAGACAAAAGAAGTTCATGGTGCTTTTATTTTGAAAATATTTTGAAGACGGTTAAAAGATGACGACCACTGTAAAAATCCCTAAGTTTAAGATTTTGACTCGAATATGAACAGGCTAAGGTTACAGATAAGTATACTATCTCCCTTTACACTGGCGGGTCGAAAAAAAAACTGCGGTGTTGGGTCAGTACTCGATTCTGGGAACCATTGTGATGCTCACTTTATGCGGATGGGAAAACACGCCAGCATATTCCAAGTCGAAGGTCCAGCTAATTAAGAGGCTTGCCGATACCAATATGTTACTCCCAGACAAAGTCGTCGGCCACCAGCTAAGCAGTTGTCATAAGTTTTTTACAAAAGCAAAATATCGTTATTTGATTTGAAGGTTTCTTTATCAATTATTAAGGACAAAAAGTTTATTTTTGTAAGTACGTAAATGACTTTTTGTCACAAAAACTGATCAAATTACTAGGTTCGATTTCTGGTCAACGCAAAATCCAAAAGCGATAGAAAGAGTTTTTTTTAGCACAGGTCATCGATAATATTTCAACATTAGCGAGGTTTCGTGGCATAAATACATAAGTGTAAAATGCGGTTTTAGCAACCGGTAATGGACAATCTATACATATAATAAAATTGTAACAGGCCGATGCCTGTACATTATAGATTTTAAAGAAAAATGAATATGGGGTCTTTATTAGGGCGACAGAAGGCAAATCAACAATTTTTCGAATTTTTTCTGTCTGTCTGTCTGTATGTTTGTACACGATTTACTCGAAAATTAATCCATACAATGGAATGCAGTTTTCATGGATGTATCGCTAGCGGTCTAGCTTAGAATATAGAAGGGGGAAAAATAGAGAGTTGCCACCTGTTTGAAAATTGCAGTTTAAGTATATTGATTAGATAAAGTAAATATTGCAATATAGCTGTAAAAAGAAAGAGGTTTAAGAAGACTCACAGCCGAAAATGTTTTTGCTAAAGGTTGCCACCTTTGAAAATTTTAATTTAATTTAATTGATAAGAAAATTGAGTATTGTAATATGGGTATCAAACTGAAGAGGCTTAGGCAAGTTTACTGCCGAAAATATTTCTGAGGAGGGTTGCCATCTGTTTGAAAAATTGTATTCAATTAAATTGATCAAATAAATTAAATATTACAATACGGGTATCAAACAACGCAAAAATACGTTTAAAACGCTGCGAAGCACGCCGAGTATTTACTAGCTTGAAATAAAAATGTTTGTACATATGAGCCGTTCAGTGTATAAATTGATTAACTCCATCAACAAGAAATTGGGAGATGCAATCAAATAATGAAAATTATTTTAAACCGACTTCAAAAAAAGGAGGAGGTTATCAGTTCGTTAAATAATCTTTTTTTGTTTTTTTTTT